TTGATTAAGCGACGCATATTTGAACACAAATGGAAACAGACAAGAACGACAATCACTGTCAAATTCCCCCCCCGCCCTCCAAGTTGACCCTGACCTCCACCATGGTCCACTTCCAGGTTTGCGTGTCCAGGATGTGGACGTCGTTGAACCACTTTTTGTTCTTGGAGCCGCCAAACACGAAGATGCGGTCGGAGTCCGGGTCGTAGACCGCCGTGTGGCCGATCCTGGCCTCGGGAGTCGGACCCTGTGCCAGCGTCTCGGCCGGCACCCAGGACAGGTCCTCTGCGGGAACAAGAACGCGAGCTCAGAGGAAAATGTCTTTTCCAGATCTTGCATAATGTCCGCTTTTAGCCCGAGATATCATACACGTGACAAACCTGTGCAGAGCTTCCACAAGGGATCTTTGCAGAACTGCATCCTGGCTCCTTGACCTCCAATCAAGATGGCCGTCTGGGCATCAATGGGGCATAGCATTTGACCCCAGCGACCCGACGGGCCTGACGGCAGCACTGCTGGAGCATCGTAGGGAAAGTTATTGTGAACTAACCATAAATCAAACTCAGCTCAGATGAATGCTAACAAACAATTCAAAACACTGTTGACGTGCTAAAGAACAGCATTGTTACTCTTTGTTTCCCTGCAAGGACCGGCTAATTTCACAGCAGCTAACCGAGGACTCGTGACCATCTTTCTCAGACAGCCCCCGGTTGCTTATTCGTATTTTTTTCACTTTGATGGTTCCTGCGATATTAAATATAGTGTAGTTGTGACTACTGCTGTATGTGTCTATTTCTTGACACGGTCTCACCTCCTTGACTTTTGGCTGCATTGCCCCTGCCCAAGAAAAGTTTCTGCCGGCCTTTGGCATGCCGTTGGACTTTTCGCGATGGCGTGGTTTGCTCCAAGCTGCTGTTCGGACACATGTTCTCCACCTCCTCCTCAACCACCCTGGCATCCTTGCCCATGTCAAGCTCTTCGGCAGTGGCTCGCTTCCTCTTCTTTTTGCAGTTGAGCTCTTGGGGTGCAAGAGGAGCGGCGGCATGCTGAGAGCAGGAAGAAGAACACACGCCTGATATTGGTGTCGTCATCCAGACAAAAGAGCGAGCCTTGTCATGACACCTGAAGTGTATGTCTACCTTTGGCGTGTGGTCTTTGACGGCCAACATGAGTGCTGATTCAGGCCGACTGTCTTTCGCCTAAGGGAAAAAATTAATAGTTTCAATTCCTACCATTAAGTGGTTGTGTTTTTTTTTTTTTTTTTGGTAAACTTTCCCATCAAAGCCATTTTTTTTACCATATGTCCTCCTTCCAGTGTAACGGTCAGGGTTGCGCCATTCGTCCATGTTTCTTCTTCCCATTGCTCCCAGGACAGACATCTATGGGATTCCCCAAATCATCAAAAATATTGAATCTCGTAGGAAGATTTCTTATTCGACATTTCCGAATGGTAGTAGGACATGATAGAAACATCTACTTTATATTTCTCAAGCGTACCTGTTCCGAGTGCTCAAACACACTCGTTTAGGCGTCTAACCTGTTATAAGGTGTCAGCTTCCCGATGGTGATGGGCGTCCGATGAGCGTCGTAGAGGTCCGCGTTGACGCAAGTCCTCTCACCCCAAGGTCCGCTGCTAAACAGCACCACCTGCTGGACTTTCGGCGGAATGGCAACAGACACCAGTCGGGACCCCTCGTCGCTGCCCCCGGGAAGAAATGTACAGTACAGTATAAACTTTGTAAAAATCGAGGTTTATTTTTAGAGTACTATTGAGGATAACAGAGTAAATGGCCATATCTGAATGAAAGACTACGGCAGGCACGGAAAAACCATTGTGAAATTGAAGCTAATTTAAAACGATATTGCTCTTGAGTTGATGTTTTGCAGTCTTCGACGTACCCGAGGAGCCTTTGAGGTGACGCATCTAGTCCGAATAACGCAAAAACTCCAAATTCCCCCATTTATCCCTCTGCAAAAGTTGAGTTTGTGCGTTTACTGTCGATTGCGTCTCCCGCCACTGATTCGTGTGTACGCAACTGTAGTTCCCACATCTCCAGTGAGTTTCATTGATTCTTTGTTTAGTGTGTCTGCGAGGGCGGTGTCTGTAATACTTTGTAATATCCGCCAAAAGCCTCGAGTTTGTGTGCGGTTAAATCGAGTGCTCCCAAAGGCACAGACGCAGAGGTCTCGGACCAATCAATGGCCTGCATTCTTCCGCGCTGCCTGATGTCACCACCGGTGCGTTCAGGAAAAAGTTGTCACTTCGACGACTTCCTTACGACACAAGTTTATTTTCTGGTTTCTTTCTAAACGGGTAACTGCACCCTGCTTCTGCTTAAATGCACATCATGCGTACTTTTCCAACTGCTCGCGTCGCATTCAAACAGCACAACAAAATGGTAAACATACAAAACAATATACATTCAGGACATGAAGCGTGTCTCTGTTGTCCTGTTCAAGCTGTACATCCACCTGCCTAATACCATGCTGCCATGCAAATCTTTTTGGTGTCAGTCATGTGTGTTTTAAGAAGCTATACAAACAAGTAAACCAAAACGTTCTTTCCCCCCCGGAGAGAACACACAGTGAGGTTTGGCTTTTTGCTGTACACATTTCATTCTGTGATTGCACTGATTTGCAGGTGTTTATTCAAACAGTACCATCTCTAAATAATTCATAACTTTACCTGCAGTGTTCACACCACGATGAACGGCTCGTCTTTCAACACTTCGTTCTTTCCAACGTATTTCTGGTCCGACTGTCATCCTTACGACGGTGAATCTGGAGGACCGTCTGCGGGCCTTGTCGTTCTCCTTGTCACCGACGTGGTTGAATTCGTCGCTGGCCTCCCATCAAACCTCTGGCTCGCCTGGTTCATTCTCCAGAGAAGGTTGTCAAATGTTCTCCTGAATGGATAATGCAGTGGGACAGGATGGCGGAGCGAGAGGAGAAGCGGCAGTAGAACAGGCCTCAATTCAGAACCCAATATTTGTCTTCGGGGGTGGTTTGTTTTCCATGACTTTTCTTTCACACTATGTTGAAGGTCCAAGGCTGACGGTATCCTAACTGCGGACTTGTTCCCGTTCTCCTTGGCCCTCGTCAAAGTTCCCTTCTACGTGATGGTGCCTGTGATATTGGCTAATCACTTGCTCTGGCGGAATGCTTGGATAATGGCCACGACGACATTCTTCTCCTCTTCATTGATCACCCTGAAGCCGCTGCTCATGTGTCTGGTGTGTGTGGAGAGATACTTGGCTGTGGTCCGACCGCTGGACTTTCTACGGTAAAAACGCTTCTTTGCTCATCTGTCATAAACACATTGAAATCAGCGCTTTTCATTATTACGTGACTTAATTTGATGTCTGTTGCCGCCAGGTTCAAGGCCTTTAAGTACAAATGGAGAGCTCTTGTCCTTCTGTTCTGCTTAAACATCTGCCTTGGCGTCTTCGCTGCTTTTTACAACTCCATTGTGGCACTGTGTATGATTTTCCTCCCCGTCCTGGCCGTGGACACCTACTGCTGTGTCGCCGTGCTCAACGCCTTAAGAAAAAGTCCACCGGGAGACAGACAGGAAGTGGGCAACGAGAAGAAGGGTGATGTGGCGGGAAATCGAGAGATGCACGGCAAAAAGAGGAAAGCTGTCATTACCATCCTCCTCGTCCAGGTCACACTCATGGTCAATTACGTGCCCCTCATTGTCACCGCTCCGATACAAGGCCTGGTCCCCGCTCGGGTCTTCAAGTGTCAGTATATGGCCATGGCTTTAGCTGCGGCCCTCGGCTGCGGTTATCTGTATCCGCTCTTCTACCTGTACAATAACATGAGACACCAGAAGAACACAAAGAGCAAAATATGACCATCTCCGCCCGACCATCAATCGGTGTACTTTTTCCATTCGGGTTTGTGTTTAGTTGTTTGAAGATTGCATTGTTTCTGTCTGTGCTGATTTTAGTCCATGTGTGTAAAAGTGCTATTGAAATGTTCTTTGAATGTGTGCTTACTTCAGTGATTCCTGTTCACATGGGCATCACTTAAACATCTGCCTTGGCGTCTTCGCTGCTTTTTACAACTCCATTGTGGCGCTGTGTATGATTTTCCTCCCCGTCCTGGCCGTGGACACCTACTGCTGTGTCGCCGTGCTCAACGCCTTAAGAAAAAGTCCACCGGGAGACAGACAGGAAGTGGGCAACGAGAAGAAGGGTGATGTGGCGGGAAATCGAGAGATGCACGGCAAAAAGAGGAAAGCTTTCATTACCATCCTCCTCGTCCAGGTCACACTCATGGTCAATTACGTGCCCCTCATTGTCACCGCTCCGATACAAGGCCTGGTCCCCGCTCGGGTCTTCAAGTGTCAGTATATGGCCATGGCTTTAGCTGCGGCCCTCGGCTGCGGTTATCTGTATCCGCTCTTCTACCTGTACAATAACATGAGACACCAGAAGAACACAAAGAGCAAAATATGACCATCTCCGCCCGACCATCAATCGGTGTACTTTTTCCATTCGGGTTTGTGTTTAGTTGTTTGAAGATTGCATTGTTTCTGTCTGTGCTGATTTTAGTCCATGTGTGTAAAAGTGCTATTGAAATGTTCTTTGAATGTGTGCTTACTTCAGTGATTCCTGTTCACATGGGCATCACCCCCCCCATTAAGTTTTAATATTTAAAGACTAAAATGCTACATTAAAAAAGTAGTACACACCAGCTCCGATTTTGAACACAAAACAGAGCCAAACCATTTATGACCTCTCGAAAAACACAGCACGTTTGCATGCAAATGCCAGGATATATTTGTAAAAGAAAATGCAAATTGCGTTGTGCGTCTTTGTTTGCATCACAGTATGCAAATTCTGCATAATCTTTGAAATACATCCTTGAAAATAGTGGACATTTATAGATTTTTTTTTTTTGTGAAGTTAGTTGGAGATCTTCCTATCTCATAATGAGTGTATTTTTATTTTAAAAACGAAATGACTATCAAGCTATGTAAAATATTGGAAATGAATTTGTATTCGTTGTAATTTTCTTTCCTTTTAAATTATTGTCTCTCTTTTGGCTCTCTTGTCTGCGATGTTGTTTAAAATAAAATATTGAAAGAAATAATAAAGCAACGTTGCGTGAAAATACGTTTTTCATGCCGACACATTGTTACAATGAGTGTTCCAAATGCTATATTTCTCTACTACTGTACCTGCATTGTCTTTTGGGATTGTTCATGGCGCCGCCGTTAAGTCACGAGAAGATTTCCCGCATGCTCCTGAACGCAGCACTGCAAAGCATTGTGGGATTTCATGCCGGTCCCAAGCTTCTCGAAGGAACTGCAAAGATGATGGTGAGTTCAACGGCCTCCACGACGTTCAATCCGTGTCCATCGCAGAGTTGGGTGGCGTGTCTTAATCCTCCGAAGAACCCGAGATGAAACACCAAGTCGTTCTTGTCTGCCTCGAGCCATTATTTCAGCGGATGACGTCGTAAAACGCCTAAAAAACCGTTAGCATAAAAAGGCTAACAACTGTCCATGGGCGTGAACGATGCTTCCCGCGATGACAATAACACGACAAATCAAACGGATCGGAGTTGAAATGCAAACGGCAGTGTGCCCCTTTTGCCGTGTTACTACAATCTCTTGTCTAGTCCGGGAAATTTGTTAGCGATGTAGTTGTTGCGTTAGCCGCTAGCCTCTTGGTCTGGGAGAAAGCAGGAGTATTAGCACGGAGCATCATAAAAGAGCCTCATCTTTCATTGAAATTTGGATTTAAATCGAGTCACTTTCTAGAAGCCCACAAATAAAAAGATGGTCGTATGTCCTTGCAGTCATACATCGACGACTAAGAGTGAATGCTAAACAGGTTCATTGTGGTCCCCGTTGTGCTTGTCCACAGCCCACACCAGTGATCCTGCTGAAGGAGGGGACAGACACGTCTCAGGGAATCCCTCAGCTCATCAGCAACATCAATGCCTGTCAGGTCTGTAATTATTGCGACTTGTGTCTGTGTGCGCGCGTGCGTGTGGTCTGCTTAAGTAAGCATGCCCATCTGCCTCTCTCAGGTTATATCTGAGGCTGTCAGGACAACCCTGGGGCCCAGAGGGATGGACAAACTCATGGTTGACAGCAGAGGTGAGACGCACGACAAGGGGACTGGCTTTCGCCTAGAGCCCCTGGCGCCGGCATTGAAAGGGAAGCTTTGTGTTTTCCAGGTAAGGCCACCATTTCCAACGACGGGGCCACCATCCTGAAGTTGCTGGATGTGGTCCACCCAGCAGCCAAGACCCTGGTGGACATTGCCCGCTCTCAGGACGCTGAGGTCTGTAAAGCGAGAGGCTTGTAAAAATCCACCACGAACCGTTTTATATTTATGGTTGAATATGATAACTTTCTTTGCGCTCTTTCAATGGCAGCCATTTTCAAAAGCAAGAACCTATCGAGTGCCAGCCGATTTCGAGCATTCGGTTTGATATTTCAAGGCTCCCAGAATAATGTGCTTTATGAGTAAACACAGAAACTGACAAGTGAAATATTAGACTCTTCTTTTGCCACAAAAAAGTCGATCTAATTCAATTTTTTAGTAGTAAGGATTCGAATATGAGTTCTTGCACCCAAATGACATTTTGACCGCCCCCCAAAAAAACAGAAACTAAGCATTTTGTGAAGGATATTTTATGCACAACAGTTTTATGCTAATTATTTTTGTGTTAGCGACTCACATTTTTTTCCCTTTAAAATACCAAGACCATAAAAGAGAATGCGCGTTTGATGGCAAAATGATTGATTGACAAATATTGACCACCAGTCTAACAATTTTACATTTGACAAACTTCACAATCTATTTGGACACTATTTAGTGTAGTAGTAGTAGTCTTTAGTAGTGTGTGCGTGCGTTCATCATGCATGTGCGAACCAAGGAAGTGGCTTTTTCCCCCATTTGAATTCCTGCCCCCATCTGAAAATCTCTTGTCATACCCAAACTCAGGTGGGGGACGGCACCACCTCGGTCACGCTCTTGGCCGCAGAGTTCCTGAAGCAGCTGAAGCCCTACGTGGAGGAGGGGCTCCACCCTCAGACCATCATCCGAGCATTCCGTACAGCGACCAACCTGGCTGTCGCTAAGATCAAGGAGATCGCCGTTCCCGTGAAGAAAGACGACAAACGGTGAGCACTCGAGCGTCCTTGAAACCCCGCTCCAAGGGTTTTTTTTCCTTACCCCTGTGCCGGTCTCCTCAGAGAGCAGCGGCAGTTGTTGGAAAAGTGTGCAGCCACGGCGCTCAACTCCAAGCTGATCGCCGGTCAGAAGGAGTTCTTCTCCAAGATGGTGGTGGACGCCGTCATGTCCCTGGATGAGCTGCTGTCCCTCAAGATGATCGGCATCAAGAAGGTTCAGGGAGGAGGACTGGAGGTCAGTTTCCTTGCCCCTACCCCCCAGCATAGCAAAACCTTTACCTTTGGACACACGCATGTCTTGTTTTCCCCGCCTCAGGATTCCCAGTTGATTTCCGGAGTCGCCTTTAAGAAGACCTTCTCCTACGCCGGCTTCGAGATGCAGCCCAAGTGTTACGAGAATCCAAAGATTGCGCTGCTCAACATTGAGCTGGAGCTGAAAGCCGAGAAGGACAACGCGGAGGTTCGGGTGAAGTCAGTGGAGGTATGCGGACCCCCCGCGGGCAGGGCGCCGGAGTCCCCTTTGGGTTTATTCATCGTCTGCCTCGCGTCTGCAGGACTATCAAGCCATCGTGGACGCGGAGTGGAACATCCTTTACGACAAGTTGGAGAAGATCTACCAGTCGGGAGCTAAAGTGGTTCTGTCCAAGTTGCCCATCGGTGACGTGGCCACCCAGTACTTTGCCGACAGAGACTTGTTCTGTGCTGGGAGGGTCCAGGAGGAAGACTTGAAGAGGACCATGATGGTAGGAACCCAGAACTCCTCTAACGTGGATTGTTACCTTTACAAGTGAAAAGATTTTCTGTGGTGTACTTAGCGTGAGCCCGAAGACAAACTATTATGTTGAGTGGATGGCCAAATATGGAAACACAGGTGAATTGTCACATAACACTACCTTGTGTTATGTGACATCCAGGCCTGCGGGGGCTCTATCCAGACTTCAGTTAGTCATCTGACCGACGACGTCCTGGGCCAGTGTGAGCTCTTCGAGGAGGTCCAGGTAGGAGGAGAAAGGTAAGACTCTTTGTCCTCTCCGTTATTTTTTTTTTTGGTGGCGCCCGCCTATCGCTGACAACTTGGGTCTTGTTGTGTAGGTATAACTTGTTCAAGGGCTGCCCCAAGGCCAAGACGTGCACCATCATCCTGCGAGGCGGAGCCGAGCAATTCACAGAGGAGACGGAGCGCTCGCTGCACGACGCCATCATGATCGTGCGCAGAGCCATCAAGGTAAAGGGGAACTCGAAAACCAATCCCTTGCAGCCGGTGTGAATATTTCCCCCGGCTGACTGGCCCTTCCGCTCTTGTTTTGCAGAACGATTCGGTCGTTGCGGGCGGAGGAGCTGTGGAGATGGAGCTGTCCAAGTACCTGCGGTATTATTCCAGAACCATCCCGGGGAAGCAGCAGCTGCTGATCGGCGCCTACGCCAAGGCCCTGGAGATCATCCCCAGACAGCTGTGTGACAACGCCGGCTTTGACGCCACCAACATTTTGAACAAGCTGCGCGCTAAACACGCTCAGGTACGAAAGCCGTCCACCTCAGGGGACTCGTATATTTACTCGATACATAAATACGTGCGTCAGTGTCATCAAATTCAAACGGATGGCGTAATAGTCAAAAGTGGCCGGCGCAATTAAATACTCCAGGAAAGTCGAGCAAGCTGACAACTTACTTCCTACCACCGCTCAGGGCGGCATGTGGTACGGCGTGGACATCAACAACGAGGACATCGCCGATAACTTCGCCGCCTGCGTGTGGGAGCCGTCGATCGTCCGCATCAACGCGCTGACCGCAGCCTCGGAGGCGGCCTGCCTCATCCTGTCTGTCGACGAGACCATCAAGAACCCGCGCAGCAGCGTCGACGGACCCCCGGGAGGCGGACGAGGCAGAGGCCGCGGAAGACCTCACGCCCACTGAAGACCCTAACCTCCAACTTTTGCATTTGAATTACATTGACGCCAACAGTTACACACACACGGGGAACCGAAGGTGTTGTTTTAACGCAAGTTTCAGCCCATTTTCTTGATTTGAAGACATTTCACTCCCCACCTGTGAGTTTAGGGTTCATTGTGTGTGTGTGACTTACCAAGCACGGCCTTCGTTTTGCAGGTTTGTCACCATCCTCGAGGCCCGCTTCTTCCTCTCGCGTTCTGTAACCGCTCAATCTGTTTTTTTGGTGATGTGACATCGAATGAAAAGCACTGAAAGGATCTGCGCCGTGTGCGTGTATTTATTGAACCATTCTTAGAAACAATAAACGCACCGCTGAAATCAAACTTACCGATGGCTTGCGTGTGTTATTTTTAACACCGGGACACTGCGATCCAAAACGTGGCGCTTATCGCGTAAAATAATATACTTGTCGCGTGCCGGTGATTAATCCTGGAAAGTAAATCCATTTAATCGTGGAAGTCCACGAGTGGCTGCTCGAGACATTATTATTCGAACTACACGGTCCCACCACAATTCCTGCTCATTGCATTCTGAGCTTCTCCCAGCTTGTAGTTCATTGCTGATTGACAGCCATGTTGGACTGTGCTAGGTAGTACGGTGGATTAAAATGAGGTCACGGGATCTTCTCACTCCAGGTAAGAAAAAAAAAAATAAAAATCTGAAAAGTTGTAAAACAATTCAACGCTCTATTTATCCCCCACTCCTCCTGAATGTCATTCTCAGTCTTCTCACGTTTTCGGTCATTTTCCAGAAACATGTCCGATTCATTCTGAAGTCAAGACTTGGAACTCCCTCGCGCCACAGATGTTCATTACTGGAATCTATTTGGATATCTCACTGCTCAATTGGACAGGAAGTCAATGGAAGCTTTGACGGAGCGTTTGGACACGACGTCCACGGCCGTCACTTTGATTTCTGTATCCCCAAACTGCATGGTGGCCCTGATCTCCCTCCTCGCTGGGCCTCCCGCAGCGGGCGGTAGTAACGGCTGCGGCAGTTCCAACGTGACCATTCCGCACTTCCTCACCCCCGGGTCCGAGATGTACGTGACGTCGTCGGTGGCGCTGCAGTAGATGTTGATGACGATCTTCCTTTGGCAGGGGCGCGCGGGCGTGTAGCTCCGCCGCACCACCTCGCCCAGAGCGACCGATTGGTCCACGGACACAAAGCGGTCCAGGATGTCGGTGCACCACTGCCGGTCGTCCTTGATGAGGAGCTTGTCCCGGGGGTGGCGCCCCTCCACGAAGCGGTTCAAGACGCCCACGCCGTACGTCAGCGGGCATCGACGCACTCGCACCTGTGAGGCACCATCCATGCAATGAGCTATTAAAACTTCAAAGTTTGGAAACATCGCTCACCACCGTGCTTGTTTCTGTTAGCCTGTCTATGGCATTTTGCACTGTATGTTAGCACTAAGCTAGCAAGCTTTCAATAATCCATGATTTGCTTGAACGTTTTGGTATCGAACTATCCAACGTTTGAATGTCTTTTGTTTTAGGTGCCATTTTGGTTTTTTTTTGTTGGCGTGTCCTCACCACAGTCGGGTCGAGCCCAAACAGCACCGCCCCCTTCAGGATGGTCAGACCGACGTTGTGCGGGATGATGATGCGGCAAAGGCATCCCAGCGCTTTGTGGATGGCTTTCTGCAGCATGGGCGACTCGGCGAATCCGCCCACCAGGAAGAGGAAACGCACGCCGCGCACCTCGGGTTTCGACATCAGCTCTTCTGCAACGGCGCAGAGAGAAAAAAAAAGATGTGTGAAGAAGTTTCAGTACAGGTTTTGAATGTGGGATTTATCAAACCGATGAAATTTTGTGTTATGTATTTTTACATAAATAAAAAAAAAATACATTACACAACAACAGGTAAATACAATTTCGCAGAATGTCAAGAATGAAGCAATTATTCAATTCAATGGATATTGTGGTGCTTCTGATGTGCGCCCGTTGACCAGCTGGGGGCGGTATAATACAGAAATAGTCGTCGTTCCTCACAGAGGATTAAAAAAACATGCCTCTTAGAGTTGTTCCAAGCTCTTTATGTCTTGCTGTTGTTAAAATCTCCGTTGCTTGAGGATTTATAACACTTCAACACCGATGCTTTTCATTTGTCCGTCGATGGTGTTGTGCATTGTGTGTTTGTATTCACCTCAACTGACTTATTTGCCTTCCGTACGAAAGGCGAATGAACACATTTGCTATGGCTGTCTATTCTCGAAGGCTCAACGAAGGTCTGTCTGTTGCCTTTGCCATCTTTCCCATTGCCTCTGCACACCCCCCCTCACCCCCCAAAAAGAAAGCCAAATATATATCTTTTTTTTCTCTGTAATTTGGGGCAGCTGAATCCAATCATGGCATTGGTTCCTTTGAAGTGGTTTTAGTTTTCAGCGATATTGATGAATGACAAAAATGTGTTGTGAGAGTTGACAAAATGTACTTTGATGGTTACTAAAAGTAGCGCTCATGCTTTGACATCACCTGTTTTTCATGACAAAATAATCCGCATTTACCACTAAAGTGTCATTTCTGAATTTTTTTGCTTGATTTTCACTTGAAACATGATTTGCATATCAAAGGCCCCCTTTCATGATCAAAAAAATGAAAGAATACTGGATGGACATGCTTGAAAAGACAGATAAAGCCTCAAACTTGGGTATTCTTAGCACTTGTCTTCACCCCAAAATATGGACTATCTTAAAAACCAGAGCCGATTCAGAAAAAATAAAAAACGAAACAGATTTAGCGACATCAAAAATACCGTAAAAGCATGTCAACTTTCTTGGCACCGAAATGCGCGTTGACCAGTTTTAGTCTAATGAATGTAATTATTCTCACCGATGTGTTGCACAATATTAGCGATGGTGGGCTGGAAGAGCTCGTTCATGGCTTCCTGGCTTAGTCGCAGCATGCCCTGCGACGACCACTTGACGATGTTCATACTGGAACGCACAAAGAGTTGCAGTCAAGGGAGGAAACATTTTAAAAAGCTCCACGACAAATCCCGCGCGGGTGACGTCTCGATAGTGGACAGGGGAGTGATGCAGGACGCAGGAGTAGCACTGACTTGCTTCTCCTCAGGGCGGCCTCCACGCTCTGCCCCCTGTGTCTTTTGTAGTAGTCGATGAAGGAGAAGGGCAGCGAGATGTTGAGGGCGTTGGCCCCGCCCGGTGCCGCCGTCCGCTTCCTGGCCTCGAACGCGATGGTAAGGTCCACCCAGGCGGCCGGCCGCTTGGTTTTGAAGCTCTGGATGAAGTCGTCCCCGAAGATCTGGCTGAGCATGGACTCGAAGGCCAGGTCCACGCCCACGGCTCCATACGGACCACCTGAGAGGAAGACAGACGGTCGGAGAGGGCCGGAAGAATCCGTGTATTGTCCGTGCTTTCCATTTGGCCGGCATTTTCTGTTCGATTGATCAACAAAATATGGAGTCACGTTTTCATTGCCAATTGGAAAATAAAAAAAAACAAGGACAGACTCGGGGGGGGGGGGGGAACCCTTCAAGTTTGAGCAAATGGCACCTGAGGCCTTGTACAGTTCTTTCAGCGTCCCCTGCGGCCGCTCGATTTGATGGACCGTCAGATCCACCGTTCCTCCTCCGCAGTCTGCTACAATGTACTTGTCACCTGCAGGACATGGTAGCCATCAGTTCAAGTACTGGTTGAAAAATTAAATACATTAAAAAAAAAAAAAAAAAGGATGGGCGAGTACCGATATCAAGTTTCGGTATCGCACCGATACTGATACCAAGGTGCCCTTTTGTGGCCGTTTCACTATCAGGAACAAAATGCCGCACATGGCTGACAGAATGTTTTTTCCAAATGAACTGTCTATAAGCATTTAAATGGCTTATGTTAATGCTTCGGGTTTATTTGTGTGCTGCTATTTATTTGCCGACTCAGTTTGGATGGTACGAATGCAGCAGAGGCAACGTGGCGCTTTTACATTCTCGTGTGAATTGTATTGAGTGCTATAGTCGCCAGTTCCTGACTTTTTGGGTACTTGTATGTACATTTTGTAAAATGATAGAAATATTATGTATCAAAAGTACAAGTGGTATCAATTACAAGGTGTGAGTATCAGTGAGGCCTCAAGAGGTGAGTGCTCGTACTCGTATCAGTCTGAAAAAAGTGCTGTTAACTTTCACCCAAAAGAAAAAAAAGCCCCTTTTTCACCCCCTTAATGTGCCTTTTTGACCGGCACAAACAGCCTTCAGGAATTTTAGATTACTGCGCTCCCTTCGTGCCAGTGTTTATGATATGTCCTGCGATAAAGCTCTGCTTTTGGTTCAGGTATGCCGAATGCAGCAGAAAAGAAAATTGAAAAGCATGTGTGCGTGTGTGGAGAGGAAGGGGAGCTGCTAGGGTTCAACGGGGTGTGCGTGTGGTTCTGAAAGCGGCATTTAATAGCAGAAAAGTGACTCACGTTCCTATTTTACAATCCTTTCACCATTTTGTTCCTCCGAGAGCACCATTTATGCCCGTTTGGGCAGGAGAGGCGGAAATGCTGTCTCGCGACCAGCCGGCGGGAAGGTGAAAGTTCAAATCTTCAATGCAACATGAAAAAGACGAAGATGTAAACCGTACCGGTCTGCAGCTCGGACCACAGCTCTCCGGTTCCGCTCTCCACGATGAAGGTCCTGCTGTGTCGGGATCGCCTCAACTGCTCCCGGGCTGCGACAAACCAAGACAACAAGGCTCGACTTCGGATTGCCATTCGTGTGTGTGTGTGTGTGTGTGTGTGTGTGTGTGTGTTGTCAGTGACTTTAGTCTTTGGAGATCATAAGTGTGTGTGTGTGTGTGTGTGTGTGTGTGTGTGTGTGTGTGTGTGTGTGTGCATGCGTTTGTGATGCAAAACAAAGAAAAACCCAGTGACATGCAGCCCACAAATGTGTAGATAATGCTCCAAATCTGGAAACAATTTACATATGAGTAAAACAATTGTGCATAAATGTGTGTGTGTGTGTGTGTGTGTGTGTCAGCAGTGATTTTAATCCTTGGAGATCATAAGTGTGTGTGTGTGTGTGTGTGTGTGTGTCAGCAGTGATTTCAATCCTTGGAGATCATAAGTGTGTGTGTGTGTGTGTGTGTGTGTGTGCAAATGACACCACTGTTATCATTTGTATTTTTTTTCAAGGTGAATTGAGGTGGCAAAAGAGCTGAAATAACAAAATTGTGATGACGACGATGCCAAGTATGTGAGTGCAGCGTAAACAATGACAACATCATAAAGGGAGCGAGAGTGAAGTGAAGGGAAAGAAATGGAGTCCAAACGACATGGCAGGAGGGGGTGAGATCATAGACTGCCTGCACCTTGTTCCAATTACAATATCCTGTGTTTAGTGTACATCTTTGTGTGTGTGTGTGTGTGTGTGGGGCGATGTTTGGGTGAAATATTCTTACGCTGAAGCACGCGTTGGGCCCCCGCTGCCCCGTTTGAACGCGCGGTGCATATTTTGACCTTCTTGCTCGAAAACAATGCGACTCAAGCACACAAACGCGCGTGTTGCCCCACCTTGCCTAAAGCTGGAGTCAAAAGGCCGCGATCCGTTCACATCCACGCCGTTCGCCATCGGCTGCAGGCTC